GACTTCAGCTCCCAGAATTCCCCAGCCAGCCATGTTGGCTGGGGAATTCTGGGAGCTGAAGTCCACACATCTTAAAAGTTGCCAAGGTTGAGAAATACTGCTGTAAAGGACTGAGTCCTCTGGAAGTCTAATCACACAGTCCTAAAACTGTTTAGAAGTCAGCCCCCCTCCTGAGTTCAGTGGGGCCAAAGATTCAAATTCTAAACTTATTTACCAGAGTGAATCATGCACACAAGGGCACCAGAGAATTATTCCCAGGTAGATCTTTTATGTGATGGCTGCAGCATTCTGGAGTACTCTCCTCCCTAGTTTCAGGAAGCACCCGCTATTATATCTTCCCCATTGAAGAGCTCTCTCTTCACCCAGGTTTTCACTCTGTTAACATTGGGTGAACGGTTTTGAGAGCTTCTTTCCCAGCCATACAGGGGTATCTGTTGGGGGAGGTCAAAAACTCAAGATGCCAGCTGTAACCACACATATGAAGCCCTGCCCCTTTTTATGAATGTTGTGTGTGTGACACTTGTGAAAAAGGGGTGGGACTTCAATCAAGATGCAGTTGTAGCTGCCATCTTGACTGTTTTGACCACCACCACCTCAACATTTCTGCAGCCATATCTCTATGCTAGAGTTTTAAAGGCTTTTAAAGATCTCTGGGGGTAACTTTCAAACATGTCCAAGGCTCATGCCAGGCTGCTTATTTGTTGCTTCTATGTCGTCACTGCTTGTTGTCTCCATATCTTGCAGTCTTGAACTGAGCCTTTGAATTACAGTTACTTAAAAAAGGCACCCCTCTATTTATGGCAGATCAGCTTCATGAGATATTTTCCTTACTTTGAAGCCCTAGAAAGCTACCTTACCCCAGTAATTTGTCTTTTTCAATATTGCTGGCAGCAATTAGATAATTTCAGCCTTTATTATGATATTGGTTTAAAAAAATTAAAATAACATGCAAAGCAACCAAAACTCAAGCACTGCTCTTCCTCAACCAACCAGCCTTTAAATGTATCAGACTATAACTCCCATCATTCCCTGTCAGAATGGCTTGGCATCTGAGACATTTGAAGACTGCCAGATTGGACTGGCGTAGACGGGCACCAGCCCACACTTCTCCAGAGCTTCCAACAGAATTGTTTGCCTGTGGGTTCTGGGGGCCGATCCATCCAGGAAATTCCTCTATGAAAGGCACACTTGTCTGCTTACCAAATTTGCCTAGCTTCTGCTCTTTATCTCCCACCGTTTTTCATGTTAGTGCTTTAAAGGTGTAAGATGACATTCTTGTTTCCAGAATGCATCACCTGCCACTTATAACATCTTTGTACCCACTTTCTTACTCTTTTTTCTATACAGAAGACTGTGACTGTGAAGGTTACTTCAATGGACAATACATAGGTGGGTACCTGCCTATTATTCCAGGTTCTCACCTAGAAACAGGATGGCATATACTTGAACCATTCTGCACAAGAAAAACAGTTCTGCAACCTATATAAATTATGCACCTTATGCGTTGGCATACAATTGCTTTTTTCTAATATATTTGCAATTGACAAAGATGCCTTATACCAGATCAGAATGTGGTGGATTAGAGACGGCTGGAGGAATCCTTCTGTAACTTTGTTCTCAAAATGTTCTTTACTGGTGGAGAATGATAGCCACCCACTTCTGTGGAGAAAGGAAAATGTCTACAAAATGAAAATGAGGGACGTGGTTGAAAAATGGGCTGAATTGGTCACCTATGTCCTGCTTAAAGAAAAAAGCAGGTTTGACTCCCTTTAGTGTGTTTTATATAACTTCATGGAAGAACGAGTAATGGAGTTAACTTCTTTCTCTGTAGTCCATTCCAGGTCTAGTTGTGGACAGATTGTTTATCCCTTCCTTCCCTCCCACCTCCCCCCCAGCTTTTTTGATGTTTTATTTTTGACATACATAATGTGTATGTCATAAGGAGAGCCAGTTTGGTGTAGTTGTTAAGGTGGTGGCCCAGAAAGCAGGAGAGTGTGAGTTCTAGTCCTGCCTTAGGCATGAAAGCTGGTTGGGTGACTTTGGGCCAGTCCCTCTCAGCCCATGACATTAGGCTTGGGCAACAAGCCAGTTGGCCAGTTCCTGTTGCAACCAAATGGATCAACATTTGGTTGATCTGAAAAAAAAGCAGACCCTGCACCTGCAGGAAAAGGAAGAAAAAAAATGTATATGTCATAATGGACATTTTTACTTTTTGAGACTTGACTGGCAACAATTTAACAAGGAGGGGGGAATACGATCTTCTGAAGTTTGAGAGGTACCAGGTTATTGGATAGCAGTTGATTAAACCTTTCATAGGCTTTGGGTCAGCACAGAGAAAAAAGTATTATTTTTGGCCTTCTAGCTGGCTTGCGCCGAAGTTTCCGACTGAGCCGGAAGGAGAAGCAGAATGGTCCAAATGAAGCCAAGCAAGCTGAACAGATCTCCATCCCAGAGCTTCTCACATATGAGGAAGTCACCAAATATCAGCAGCAGCCTGGTGAAAGGAAGAGGCTGGTGGTTTTAATTGGTGAGTTGCTCTATGCAAAAAGAGCACCATTCTGTTACTGGGAACTGATTGCTGACATAGATGATGGAGATCAAGCCCAGGATTTTTCAAACTTTGGTGAACTCAAAGATGCACCTCAAGGTTCTCATCTTCTTAGGAAGGTATGGGATGTTGTTGAGATTAGCAGTCTCTATCAAGGATTATGTGGAAAGAAAACTGGGTTTTGGATCCATCTTAATCAGAATCCAGGTAGTTTCCCATTAAGTACATTTGTTTTATTATATATAAAACTGATAACTCGGAGGTTCATGTTGTAATTAGCTCTGGGAAACTTGGGGTTAGTAATTTTCTCTTCACATTAATTCTCTATATTTATGAATGCATTTCAAATTATATGGGATTTGTGTAACAACCTTCTTCGAAGGTACATTGAGTAGTATATGGAGGTTCTAGATGGTATCCCATTGGAGGCTCCAGGTTTTAAGGATATAAAACTCATAGTGGATGAGAACCAAGGTCTCCTAGTCCGGCATCCCATTTCCTCAAAGGCCAGTCAGATGCCTCTGAGAAGCTCAGATCAGAACACGAGGGCAGCAGCCCCCTCCTCCTGTTCATTTGACACAGAGAGATTCTCCTTCCTATCCTGGAGGCTGCAAACAGCCATGGTTATTTGTAGCACCTGGTTGTTGATGATGCAGAGTACCATCACCTCCTTGAAGGAAAAGTGAGATACGGTCAATATTTTAAAAATAGTGTTTATATGTAAAATAAATATGCACCTGGAGTCTTACCCCTTTTCTTTCCTGCAATTTAGTGCTTTCCCATTGTGTTTTACTTCTTCCACTGAGCAGGATGCAAGCCTGCTTACCCATTTCCTTGTCCTGGAATGGGAAAGGAGGAGGTTAGGCTGGGCTCTCCAGGAGCACCCAATCCCTGCTGGATGCCTTCCCCTTCTGACTTGAATTCAGAAGGAAGGCCAGTTGCTTGACAGGTGAAATCTGAAAGGAAAGGCTGATAAGGTATGAAGCTTGAGCCAAACCTTAATTTAGTGCCCTTCAAACTAGTAGCAATGGCATGTATGGCTGTTTAAAAAGTACAGGTAGTCCTTACTTAACAACCATTCATTTAGTGACTGTTCAAAGTTACAACGGTGCTGAACAGAGGAACTTACAACCAGTCCTCACACTTAAACCATTGCAGCACCCCTGCAGTCATGTGATTGTGATCTGGGTGCTTGGGAACCAGCTTGCACTTATGATGGTTGCAGCGTCCCAGGGTCACATGATTGCTATTTGAGACCTTTTCAGCTGGCTTCCGGCAAGCAAAATCAATAAGGAACCATGTGATTTGCTTAACGACCATGTGATTTGCTTAACAACCAAAGTGATTCACTTAATAACTGCTGCAAAAAAGATCATAAAATTGGGTGTGATCACTTAACCACCCCCTTAACAACAAATTTTCCAGTCCCTATTGTGGTCATTAAGCAAAGACTACCTGTAAACTTGCAGTGGTCTGTGTGTGGGATCTGGATGGGGATCATTGCACAGGAGGAGATGGTGGAGTTAGGATTTTTAACCTTTTGTTCCATGCCTGCTGTTTGCACTGGAAAACTAGAAATTCCCACTGGAGTAATTAGAAGATTTGCACTCTAATCTGGAGAGGAATCATATCAGAGGCCTTGATCTTATTGGGGTACCTGCAGTTTATTATTATAAAGCTTTTAAGACCATTGCTAATAGTCCACATTGTATCTTGTTTGGTTTGCTTCTAAGAGCAGAACCAAGACAGGTAAAGCTGCCAATCAAATTCTGGCCTATATCTGTTTTTCCGTGGTTGGCTTCTTCTGCATATGCCTTGTGTTCTATTTACTCACCACTTCTTCCTCTGATCTCTCAGGTTCGTTGGGGTCCCGGTTAAATGAGCTCAAGCAGAAAGTAGTGGCAGAAAATCCACAAGAATATGGAGTTGCTGTGCCACGTAAGTAACTTTTTTTTTTGTTTTTTGCCAAAGATGTATCTAGTCTCCTCTCCCCGAACATGCAGTGTTGTTTATTTCTCAATTTATTTCTGTTATTTTATTAATATCAAACTGTCCAATGCAATGTTCTTTAGGTGGCTTCGAGTATGTTGTTGTTCAGTGGTTCAGTCACTATCAACTTTTCACATCCTAATGGACAGCAGTTTGCCAGAATTGTCTGTCAGTAAATAACTGCTTGAGTTCTTGTAAGCTCGTGCTTGTGATATCAGTAATAGCATCTAGCCATCTTGTGTTGTGTGCTGTGTGCTGATGACTTTTCTATTGCCTTCAATGTTTCCAGCCATCAGGGTCTTCTCCAAAGATTCTTGCTTCCTTCCATATTATGTGCCCACAGTGTTTAAGAGTTAGCTTTATTATCTAACACTGAATGTTCTTTTTGCTGTTCATGGTACTCAACAGTTTTCCCCAGCACCACAGTTCAAAGATATCAATTTTTCTTCATTCAGACTTTCTTAAAGTCCAGCTGTCATAGTGATATGCTATGACAGAGAGAGCAGTTGCTTTTTAGTTGGATAAATTTTCTTCTGTTGCTGATGTCTTTTGTTTTGCATTTTTCTCATCTATTTTTCACATATCAGAAACAGCCATTTCTCCTTCTTTTGCTGTTTACAGTGTGGAATATCTTTGTTTCACCTTTGATGATATCACAAATTTTGGTCCTTCAGTTCTTCAGGCACTCTGTTTATTTAATCTAATCTATTAAATCTGTTCTTTACCTGCACTGCTTACCCATATGCTGATATTGTACTGTATCTTGTTGGACTGATTATTTTGTTGCTTTCTAAATTGGAATTTGTAAGAAGTTCATGTTTTGAGCCTCAATCAGCACTAGGTCTTGTTTTTGTTGACTAAGCAGAACATCTCCCTTTGTACTTGCAAAGAATATGGTCAATGTGATTTTGATATTGTCTGTCCAGCAGTGTCCAGCAATATTAAATCTTTGAGCTTATTAGAAGAAGGTATTTGCTGCAAACAATAAATTATCTTGGCAGAACTCTATTAATCAATCATCTGCTTTGTTTCATATACCAAATCCATTTGTTCCCATGATTCCAAATGCTAGTTTACTTTAAGATTTTAACATTTTAAGCTCCTATGATGAATATGACATGTTTTGGTTTGTGTAGTGGGTCAACAGGGCACTCCAAGAGATGTTCAATATCAGCTTCCTCTAGATCTGGGTATGAGGCATAGACTTAGATCATTATAACATTGGAAATCCCACCCTGAACTTGAATTGAGATCATTCTGCCATTTTGGGGGGATGTATCTGAGCACTTACTTTAGCACTCTTGCTTACAATGATGGTTACTCCATTTGTTCTATGAGTTTCCTGTCCACAGAAGATCTGGCGATCCTCTTGTGTGAAGAGTCCCATTCTAATCCATTTCATTTACCTGATTCTCAGAAAGTCAATATTCCATCCTGACATTTCTGCTCTGATAATATCAAGTGTTCCTTGGTTCGTGGTTCTAATATTCCTCACATTACTGTGGTGTGTGTGTGTGTGTGCACATGTGCACATACTGCTGCATTGAATTTTGTTTTTGCCTGTGGACACAGCTGCAGCCACATCATAAACACCAATGTTACTTGTATTTGTTCTCTGCCCTTACCCAGTAGCTTATTAGATACTTTCCAGTTTGAAGAGTTCATTTACTAGGATTGTGCAAATGTTGCCCTGATTGTGAATATCTGTTTGATTTTTTTGGTACAAGACTAGAGTGGGTTGCCTTTTCCTTCTTCACTGACCCATGCTTAGTCTCATCCTTTGTGACCTGCCCATTTCTGGGTCACTCTTCTGAGAGTCTGCACCCCCCAAAATATACTCACAGTGCCACTGGGATGTGGAAGCTCCTTCACCAGATCCATGATTGTGGCTTATAAGACACCAGGATAAAATACAGCAAAAAGCAGATGACTTGACAAATAGTCAACACTTACTGTAAACCAACCTTCCACAAGATAGCCATGCTGGCTGGGAGTTATGGAATTGTGTGGGAGAAGCCCTGAGCTGAAAAGTGCATGCATAACTGAAAAGCTATAACATGGAATCGATACCACAGAAGAAGACTAGGGTTTTCTTTTGTCTGCTAATCCTTCCTCTTTTTTAAGACTGCCTCTGTTGGGCTACACTGGAGTGAGTAGGGCCAGATAATTCTTCCTGCCTCCTTTTTGTGGGCTTCAGAACAATCCCAGGATATCTGTGTAAATGTTTTAACCCAAGGGGGGTGTTAAGGGACCATTGGAGTGAATTTAAGGATTGAAATGCTTCTATGAGTCTTGTCATCTATTTTGCATCTTAAAATCCCTCCCCCCTCCCCATGGGCTAGACTGCAACCCACCGCTGCAAAGTATGGCTATTTTGAAAATTAACTTGAAGTTTAGCTGCTGATTGGGAGAGTTAGTTTCCCTGGTAAATGTCTATCATGTATGTATGTATGTATGTATGTATGTATGTATGTATGTATGTATGTATCTATCTATCTATCTATCTATCTATCTATCTATCTATCTATCATCTATCTGTCTATCAATCTATCTATCAATCTATCTATCTATCTATCTTCCCTCCTTGGCTTCTCAGGCAACTAATATACATAAGACTACTGACTCCAGTAGGGTGGTAGAATGCAGCCATCCTGTTATTCTACCTTATTTAATCCTTGACTTATGTCTT